GCCAGCGCCGGTGGGGTCCCTGCGGGCGTGGGAGCGCCTAAAAGCGTGAAGGTAGCTGCGTGCTTGTCCCCGAGATGCGGGCATTAGAGGAAAACTGAATCGCTCCTTATGTTTCGGGTAACGCTTTTCTGCGCGGGGATTTCGTATTTTCTTGACGTGCTGTAGGAGAGAGCGGGAAAGAAAACTAAGGGTTCGGGACACGGATAACTTCCTTGCCCTGCTTTATGCTCCTGGTTAAGCGCTGGCGGTGTGACGCCTTTGCTGTGAGCTAAAGTTAAGTTTTCTAGTGTGATGTCGTGAATCTCGAAGCAAAAAGTGCCTCTTGAGAAACGTGGAAATGAGTTGTTGCTGTAAAAGGTGGTCTAGTAATGTCTGTGAAGGAAACAAGCTGTGTGATTGCAGAGGCGTTTTGCTAGCCTTAGCATTCAGGACCGAGTAAGATCATTTAAAAACAAACAAAACCATGTGACTTTAAACATAAAGTGTCAATGTGATGGGGGTGGTGGTGGTGCTGTGTATTTTCCTTTTGCATTACAGCCGTTAAAATGGTCCTGGATCAGACTTTTGCCCTCTCTCCTTTCAAAAGTGAGATTAGACAAGCATGCTAGAAGTCACTTGATTCCATTAGATGCAGCCTTAAATAAAGCCGTTGTGTATCCTGCAAAGTGAAAGTCGGTAACACTGCTGAAAACATCTCAATGTTATTATTAGATCATTTGCTTAGATCTCACTTGGGGTGAGGAGGTCAAAAGAACACGTATGCTGGGTTGGTGTTCGTTTAAATTAGGGTAGGTGCAGGTGTGGGGGAGCTGCTATATACCTTTTGTTCTCGCAAATCCCAGCCACGTTTGCAACGGGCTGGGCTTGCACATGAATAGCGCAGCAGGACTGGGAGCAGAGCTAACTTGAACTTGGTTCCAGTCCCGTTAACTCCAGTGACGTTTCGGTAGCTCGATTAGTGTTCGTTGCTGTCTGAAGGACCAGGATAATGTGGCTTGGAGCAAAAGACCTCTAAATGATTTAGCCTTAAGTTTAAATGATCTGTTACTGCTTCTTGCACAGGCAGAGAGGGAAGGGAGTCTGTGCTGGTAAACTGGTATCTTGCGGATCATCAGCAGTGTGTCTTCCAACTTCAGCCCTGTAAATTAATAAGAATGTGGACGGGTAACATCAAACAGGACAACTGTCAAAGCTGTCGATGGCCTCTTCTGCGGAAGAGTGTTAGCCTCCAAAGAACAGGCAGGGAGGTGAGCTCTGTGTGGCTGGGATGTCGGCTCACGCTTCGCAGAGCCGTGCGCCAGCAGCCCGGCTGCGTGCAGGCTCCTCTCGCCTGCGCCGGGGCTCCTGGTGTGGCCCCCGCGGGGGTCACCCGGGGAGCCTTCGCACGGGGGGACTGCTGAGCAGGCTTGGTCTGGCCCAAGTGCTACCCTGTGTTGCAGCACAGCTGTTTTAAGAAAGACTTGGGAGGATCAATTTGGTGACAGCTGTTATCAACAGCTTCACATTATATTGTGGTGTAAATTTGTCAGTGTAGGGGAAGATGGCTGCCAACAAGGATAATAGCTGGGAGAGCGTTGGGCAACTGCAAATTGTAATGTTATAAGCTGAAGAATGACTGAAACGGGTGATTCTGGCATGAGTGTTGGAGTCAATACTTCACTTTCTCTGTGGTTTGTCTGGCAGTGTTCTGGTGAAAGGCATCTCTTGGATTATCTCAAATCTGCTGCTTTGCCACAGGCAATATATGTGCTGTTTGGTATGAGATGAGAAATTGGCTCAGAAAATTAAAAAAAAAAAAAAAATCTAAATTTAGTCATTGTTTGGTTTACAGGATTCTTCCTATGCAGCATGGGGTTATCCGGAGGGTTATTACTTAATTTTTATGGTTACTGGGAATCTTGGGTTTTCAAATTATTTAAGTTATTTAGCTGACGTGTGATGCACAATGTCTGCACGACAAAGAGTTCTCTTTATACGAAAGAAGAAATGAAAATAATTGCACTCCATTTATTTGCCCCCAAATTATACACAAGTTTTCAAAACTGCTGATTTCTGCTGCTTTCCATGTCTAGTTTTACTATGGATATTACATGTTAAAGGATTGTTGAATTTGCTATTAAAACAACTGCTGATGTTTTGAAACTCACACTCCGTTCACTAACTTTGCTTTAACAGAAACCTGGCAAATGAAGATGTGGTTCACGGTGTGTTTCTGTTTGACAGACACCCCCCCACACTTCAATGCTTGCATTTTAAAATTCAAATCACTTTGCAAAGTTTATTCTTTGTTAGGTAGGACTCTTTTACAGACCGGGAAATAAAAGTATGTAAGTTAGCTGCCTTCCCAAGGTCATGCGAGGCCAAAACTTGCTCTGTTACTCTAATGCTATGAGAACAGAACTGGGCACAAAATATCTACGTGGAACTTGAATCTCTTGCTTCCTCTTCTGGTGCTTTTAATTATAAAACCATGAAAGCTTATTCTGAAGACCTCCATCAAATTAATTAACCCTTAATATGCATGCAGTTCTATAGGAAAAATGTTCTGCCTTGAAGATAAATTTTCTGTGAATCATGGTATATGTAATTTTTAGCCTTGTCTGTATGGATGGAAAAAACAGGTTTTGTAAATATGAAATATAGTATTGGTAGCATAAACATTGAGGGGCGTTTTTCTTTTGTGTTTTTGCAGGTAAACGACCTCTGCTGGCACGTGCGCTGTCTCTCATGCAGTGTTTGCAGAACGTCTCTAGGAAGGCATACCAGCTGTTACATCAAAGATAAAGATATCTTCTGCAAACTTGATTATTTCAGGTATATACACAGGAATACCATTTTATTAGATAACATGTTACGCTTGCTTGTTGCTTTTCACTTAAGCTGCAACTAAAATAAATGCTTAGGCTCTTTGGTTTTTATTTGCTAGGTTTATTTTCAGTAGTTAAACTCTGACATTTCTTGCAGAGGGGCTTATGAAACACCAAGTCTGTCTAACGTAACTACCTAGTAAGTCTACCCTTCTGCCCCTCTATTGTTATGCACAGCTCCTGCATTTATACAATAATTTGCTTCTGTACGCATGGGGCGGGGAAAGTAAGTCAGAGTCCCGGCCACAGTAAGGTTGTAAAGCTACTGTATGTGCAAAGGACCATCCTTAGGCAATGCTGATTGCAAATACAAGGTAGAGTTGAGATGATACTCTGTTTGGACTAGTACTCCACTGGGCTGAGATTTCGGGTATCACACGGAACTACAAAACCAACCCAGAATAAATCCCGTGATCTTTAAAAGAAGCTTTCAGCAGTTATACCTTTCTGTGATCAGTGTGATTTAGAACATGAAGCATTCTTCAAGATTGAGGTCTAATCCTGTAAGGAAGAATATTATTTATTTGTGCTGGCATTGGAAGTACTCATGGTACAAAATCTTTGGTCCAGAAAGTAGCAAAAAATTTTGCTGTTAATTTTGGTGTGATTGCTAGTACTTTGCCAGGCCAAACTATTTATGGGATTCTCACCTGTGTGGTGAATGGATTATGTCCAGCTAGTCACTTGTGACACTGAAGGAGAGGGAGGGGGCAGGCTGAATACTGTGAACTTCTGGAAGAACAAAGATTTGTGGGACTTCAAAAAAAGAACTTATGAGTCTGCAAAGATTTTCAGGACAAATTCTTATCTACATAATCAACATACCATGGTGGCTAGTTTCATCTTCAAAGAGAAGTATTCTACCGTAGTAATGTAAATACTTGCAGGTATTTGAATTTCTTTTAAAATCATAATGTGATGGTAATTAAGGAAATAACTATGAAGATACAGGTTTTCCCCCTTCTGCTGAAGGGGACTGAACTATTAGTGAAGGATGATGTAGCTAAATATAATAATTCAGACTACCACTAGAGTCATGTGAAATATATTTGAATAATTGGGAGAATTTTGAACACAAACGCAGCTGTTTCCGTCTCCCACTCACAGCTTTTTAAAGATTAGTTATCTTTATAAAAGGAGAGATGAAGAGTTGTAAACTCATGTAGCAGTTAAGATGTTTCAATTTTACTCTTCGCCTTCTGAAAATATTAACTTCTGTAGTTCAGTAGCGGTCTTGCCTTAAGCTATCAGATATGAGCTTGCTGATTTTGTTGCAATAAAAACACAATTATGCTGTCCCCTCATCCCTTGTGGTCTGCCTACTTGCTGCGGGTCTCAGCTGTGCTGCCACATCCTGCTTGCCTCTAACCCTCCCGGAGTCACCCTTCTGCCCGAGATGGTTAGTGTCCGTGCCTTCACCCTCCTGTTGCCTTTGTTTTTGCAGGCGGTATGGCACCCGCTGTTCCCGCTGCGGGAGGCATATTCATTCTACTGACTGGGTCCGAAGGGCTAAGGGAAATGTATACCACTTGGCATGCTTTGCGTGCTTCTCCTGCAAAAGACAGCTTTCTACCGGAGAGGAGTTTGCTTTGGTTGAAGAGAAAGTCCTTTGTAGAGTACATTACGACTGCATGTTGGACAATCTGAAAAGAGAAGTTGAAAATGGTAACATGCTGCTTTTGTTAAGAACTATGTGGTTTAGTTTTAATGAAATTGTTGGGTTTTACCTCATCTTCCTTATTAACAGGTAATTACCTAGCTTTACTAAGGCTGGAAGCACAGGTTCTTGAATTAAAATAATGTGCAAATTATTTGATGTTTTAATTTTTTTTAAGTTTGTATAACTTGTTTTCTATCCTAAGGAAAAGAAAGCAAGAGCATATCTAGTTGATAAAATGTCATGCTGGATCTATTCCTTCCCTCACTTGCAAGGGAGTCAGTTGGGGTGTAATGGATAATGGTGCTAGATCAATTTAACTTTGAATAGAATATGGCTTTTCTGAAGTTGAGATTCAGCTGGCCAAGTATTGTCGGTTATTGTTGGGGGACAGTCTTGACTTACGAACAACATAATTTTGAATGTTTAGCAAACGGTGTTGTTTTCTTTTTAATGCTTCAGGTAATGGGATTAGTGTGGAAGGAGCATTACTAACAGAACAAGATGTTAATCATCCAAAACCAGCAAAAAGAGCTCGGACCAGCTTCACAGCAGATCAACTCCAGGTAGAGGCAGTGCTAAAAACTTGCTTAGT